ATGTTAAGTAAATTCCCAACACAAGGTCCATGCATTATTATGCTAGACGGATAAATGACAAGGTGAAGTTGAAAATGAATGAAATCAAAATTTTAGTGGAACACAAATTCCTTTTTTTTTAAATGTTGAACTATGTCTATTAAAATTTTAACCCCTCTAAATTGTAGTTATGTATCAATTGGGACAGTAAAATATAGCAAAACAAGAAAGCCGTGTTTTCCATAAATGTATCATGTTTTCTGTTGATTCCTGCATTTCAATATTAATAGGTCAATAAAACTTTGATATTGGTAACAACCCAGTAATAAAGGGGCTAGCCACTGATTAAAAAAAAGGCCTTGTTCACATGACGATAGAAATGAATTTTGGAAATGCGTATTGCAAATGTGAAGGAACACTCATAATCTAGAATTTTGGAAATTTGTTTTTGAATTGAATTATTCTGTTTATATGATGATAGAATTGGATTTTGTAAATGTGTGTTTTTGAAATGTTAGAGAGCACTCATGTTCTGAAATTTCGGAATTGAATTGAATTTTGGAAATGTGAAGGAGCACTCATGTTCTGGAATTTTTGAAAATGTGTTTTGGAATTGAATTATTCTGTTTATATGACGATAGAATTGAATTTCAAAATTGCGTTTTTAGGTTCTAATGGTGAACTCATGTTCTGGATAAAGGCCACATTCATATGTTTCGCAATCATTTTGCAAATAAGTAGTGGATTTGATACAAGACTATTGCCAGTCAATTTTTGTATTTCGCACGAGTGTTAAGTAGAATCCCATAACTTTTTTTGTGCCAATACCTTATATTTCTCATTCAACTTCATTTTACATTTGCAGTTTACAGGAAAACCCAAAGTACAAGAAGCTTAAAGATAAGGACGTGGGAGAAATTCACAATCGATACAGTCATCTATTCGGTGACAGCTAAGACTTAACCAAGTACGCTTTGACATGACCAAATGTCACAATGTGGATTTGGCATGTATGAAGTCACTGACAGTGACCAATTAGCCGATCGTTTGCCTATCCTGATAAGTGGTTCAAGTCACGGTCTACATCTGACACGTTCGAAGTGTGCAATTGAAATGTCGACGCAATGTAGCAGCGGTAAACATAAGTCCACATCTTGTTCGGATAAAGGTGAGAAAAAATACGGGGCACTAGATTTGTCCACATTTGTTGGTTGAATGACAGGTCTATCTACAGAACTGCAGTCTTTTACACATAACATGAGTGTTGGCTACAGTATTTTCCTTGACAACTGCATCATCGAAGTGGAAGCAATCGGTTGGTTCGGCAGGAATAGCAATCTATTCATGTTTGCCTTATCATTCTTGGGGATCAAGGGTAATAGGGACAAATGGAGGGTCGCAAAAGACATAGACGCAAAGATGTGTTTGTCGAGATGGAGGTTCATGACTGGAAGGCGTGTAGAGCCAATTCCTCACGTGGTTCGGGTTTTGATTGGTAATTAATTTTTATATTTGTCAGATTATTTTAAAAACTATGTTTTTTTGTGCGTTTGATGTTTTTACCCCCTTTGCGATACATGTTTGTTTTTTAAAAATTCTAGACTCTTTTTCTTTCAAATTGCTTTCCCTTGATGTCCCACTTTTTTTATAATGTGTCCATATTTTTCTAGATTTTGTAAACTGTCTGTGCATGTTTTCAAGTTATTGTGGGTCTCATTTGGCATTTTGCATGGAAAAAAGTAAATGAATGAGACAACATCTGACACATTTTTTTTCCTTTTTACAAATGAAGGTAAAATTATTTGCATACTCAAATCAATTCTACAATTACTCCTTATTTTCAAGCCTATAAATAGTATCATGTATTGAAGACAAAATATTTCCACACTTCTTACTAGTTACATGCTCCCGTATCTACTTCTCCCGAAACTTCAGTCTTCATATGCAATACAAAAAAAGTGGCAACCATCACACAAGGAGCATGAAATAATTTCTACTTCTCTCGAACATTTAGAAAACATCTTCTATTTGAAACATTTCAACGAAAAAAATGAAAACATGTCACAATATCGATTCACTGATTGCAATATTTACCCGAACTCCAATGTGTCTGACAAAGAAGACAATGAGATAGTAATGCGAAAACTTGAAGACGACATTTAGACATAGCTTATATATTGTTGCATTTACAAACGTCTGGTATGGAACTACTTGCATCATTCTGCGAAATCACACTGTCTTTTCCATTTCAACGAAGCGGTCATGTATTCATGCTGCGGAATTTAAGCACGTATTCAAAAGCTAGTTTTAATGAATTTTGGATGTATCCGCATATGTTCGTTCACTTCACACACATACTTTGGGACGAGTATTGTTTGCGGAACCATGCATATCTAGATGTTTATGAGCATGTAGGAATTTTTTTGTGCGTAGTAGCACACGAGAGAGGATACTGACAAGTGCAAACAACGTTTGGCCATTCGGTGTAGACAATAAGCCACTACTTGAAGAAAGTTCTTCGCGTTGTGGTTCGGTTCGAGGAGACGTGATAAAGCCTAACCTAAATTACAACTTCGGGATAGGACTTTATCGGCCAGACGATATTGACTATCCATTATTCCAGGTGATCATGCTAATAGAGAACATATTTTAATGTAGTGTATGAAAATTTAATTCTTCCATGCAAAGGATTACGTTAAATCTAATTTGTTTAGCAACTGTTTGGCGTGCTCAAGATTGCATTGGGCTAATTGACGGAATGCATGTGCTGGCTGTTCTATCGCGTCATGAACGTGAAAATCTTAGAGGACGAAAAGGGATTCCAACACAAAATTGTTGGCTGTATGCAATTTCAACCTGTGCTCCACGTTTGTGTTGTCAGGAACTACTGGAAATACGTACAATAGTCGAAAATATTAGCCAACACAATATATAATCAGGAAATTAATTTTCCCATCCCCGCTAGAAAGTATTATCATGTGAACTTGGATTTCCGCATAGGCTATATGATATAGCCCCGTATAAAGGTTCACATATTAGATATCATTTTCAGGAATTTCGTAACGAGACGACAGGACAAGGGCAAAGATTTTGAGATGCCTGAGAACACTTCAATTTCCATCACTTGTCCTGCACAAACGTTATTGAGAAGTCATTCGGAGTACTAAAGAATCGTTGAAAAATTATAGATCGCATCCCAAGCTACCCGTTTCCTGTGCAAATGGTGGTTGTTGTGCGACGATGACTGTGCACAATTTTTTAGGCACGATGATTGTATAGATGAAGTGTTTCGTAGAGTGGAACAAGACAGAGACGACGAAGTGGAGATAGACCTTCTCAAGGAGGATGATAAAATTGAAGCCGAAATGGATGCAACGTTGGACGAAGATTTAACTTGGGAACAATTGCGTGATTACATGGCGGTTGTGTTACACTAGTTTACATAGTCCAAAGTTATCTTGATTGTAATTCATGAAATTCTAGTCGAGATGTTCGGTAATTTGTAGTCATTATTAAGAACGAACAGATAGACTTAGTACATTAGAATATGTTGCTATTGCTTACGAAAACAATGTGACGAGTACAGATACCATAATACTCTAAAGAGTTATGTTCCCAAAAAAAAGGGGTAAAAAAGGGAGAAAAAAAGGTCTTTCAAGATAGCCTCAATCGAAGCATTTAAAGCATTTATAACAATGGTGAAATTTTGAATTGAAATAGTCAAGAAGATAATAGAAAAGACAAAAAAAAATGGGCCCACCTCACACTTATCATGTACCCAATTCACGAATAGTGCCAGAATTTGGTCATCATCATTACTTTTCAGAATTTGTCACATGGCAGCACACACATGAATAAACAAATGAAACATCATTGTACCAAACCGTGTTTTCATGTAAAAAACGAATATCAAACTTACGCTAAAATTTGTTTTTACAAATGTATGTAATTGAAATTTTTTGGCAAAGTTAAACCTTATAATTTTGAAGTCTTTGTTTGAAAGTGATTTTGCCAAAATCACTTTTTTCCTACTTATTTTCAATGACATTCTCCAAATAAAAATATTTTTCACATTTGTTTAATAATTTTTCTCTACTTTTTAATCACAAAATTTTCAAAATAATCATTTTTCACAATCGTTTCTCAAAAATCAACTTGTGCTGTTATACTATGACAGAATAATAATAGTCTAATATAAATTTTTCATAATCGTAGCTTCAACAGCAGCAAAGACAAGGTGTCAAGGACTGTAGTTTTACTTAAGCCCCTTGACCCACTGCACCAAAAAACACATTTTAAGCCCCTTGACCCACTACACCAAAAAACACCTTTTGCAGCGGCCAAAAAACGCTGCAAAAAGGCTTTTGCAGTGTTTTAGTGTGTGTTGCAGGGTTAGTGTTGCCGTTGAGGGAAGAAATATGGCAACGTTTAAAAAACGTTGCGAAAGAGTCTACGGCAACGTTTTTTAAACGTTGCGAAAGAGTCTTTCGCAACGTTTTTTAAACATTGGAAAAACGTTGCGAAAGACTCTACGGCAACGTTTCTTTCGCAACGTTAGAAAAACGTCGCCGTATCTCTTCCTTTGGTTTTGTCAACATTTTACAAACATTGTCGTTGGTCTTTTTAATATTTTTTAAAATTAATTCGCATTTTTATATATGTCTGCCTTCCTGTACTATCGGAATAAATATCCAACATATATTGAGAAGTGACAAAGACATCAAAAATAAATATAAGAAATCAGGATTAAAATGGAAAAGCAAATTGCATTGAAATTAAACCATGCTAGCATCTACATTGTGCAATATTCACTCCATTATACATGATTTTAAATATCAACTCAGCATCAATAACATATTTTCTATCATTCATCGGACCACTCACAAAAGGTGCTATTCATAACGTATTTTTGGTACATTGCTATGTTTCGATTGATATTCTGTAGCATCAAAAAAGTAGTTGCTGCAAAAAAAAAATGAAATGAAGCCCATGTTTGAGACCCATTAGAACCAGGTACCTCGCACAACCCTGCATACAAGATTCGAGCTCAATTCCTTTATTTCAGAAGTTAAAGTAAGAATCCAGGAAATAATATATCAACGGAAAGTAAATTAAGAGTTCAACTTAAAAAATAAAAAAGGGAATGCAATTCGAAATTATTGGTAATTGAACTTTAAACAAGATATCGCTTCAGTCATGAGTGACACTAAATTGAAAAAAATCGAAAGTTAAGATTAAGATTCTTGAGTGAATTCAAACTCCAAAATTCAGAAGACAGACCAGTAATTTTGTTATATCATGTGTTGTGTCAATTTCCCTTCCATATTGTACCTAATTTAATACCTTAAAACTCAGTAAATAAAAAAGGCTCTATAATTGATCTTGTAAACCAACTTTCTTCCAACATATTTAATCAGTCCCAGCAATATATAATGCCACACATAACTTATCAAATGCAACCAGCATTCGACCTTGAGCTGTCCCATAAACATATGGTTTGATTCTCCACAATAAGACACTTAATCTGGAAGCCAAAATTCATTATGAGAAATTCAGCAATTCTTTCCCAGAATACTCCAATTCCAACCCTTCCTCACCAATCTATCACCTTTTTATAGATCAAATTCTAACCAAACAAAATTCTAAACAATCCTATAATTCAATTTTCATGGATTACTTGCACATCTCTTTTTCAGCTGCTCTTTACAATTTGGCATCTCCAGAAAGAAAGATACATAAAGTTACCAATTTCGAACAAGTTATGGTCACTCATAAATGCAAAATGTCTAGATGTAGAGCAAATAAATCACACATAGTTTAAATTGAAAAATGAGGGCTACATGCGAAACGACGTGTTAAACAAAAAACTTAAATAAATAAACTCCTCTAGATGTTCTAACTTCTTAAGTCATAGGATTGAAAATTGTGTGAAGTATATATAGGATTACAAATGAGAATATAGCCCAACAAATCAAATATGGAGAGTAAAGAAGAAGACTAAAGTGTCATTTGTTCCAACTAAGTTATCTAAATTATTCTTGTTTTTTAAATGGCAACATTAATGTCAAATTGTCTGTGTTTTATGAATCGAAGTTAAAACTCACTAACTAATGTGAAATCTCAATTAAACTCGCTGATGTTACTGACCTCCGCTCAACCAGGATCGATGTTAGACCTGATCAATTATGTTACAAGCATCTTAGTTAAATATTTACTGAGCTAGTGGTAGTATCTGGATAAATATTTAAGGCAGATTTGTATTTAGAAGATTTTCTTTTCAAATGATAAATAAAAATAATTGCATATACAATTTTCTAGGATGGCTTGTATTGCTATGAGAGAAAGAGCAACTTTCAGGTCATTGAAACCTAAAACCAGTAGCTGATGCATGTGATTATTGTTGAACCTTTCAGGTCTTTCAAACCTGACAACTATAAGTTTTAGAAAGAATAACTTGATTACTGATCAAGGAATGCGTTACTTATCTGGCCAAACCAACTCGGTAAAGTTGGACCTGGAGAGAGGTCCAAATATCCATGGAGGGCTAGTTCACCTCCAAGGTATGTTAATTTCAACTCCCGATGACTGGTGAAGTTATTCAACTCCCGATGACTGGTGAAGTTATCTGACTTAATCTTGTTAGTTCCACATTGAATATAAAGCCTGTCATTCTCTTAGCGGATTAGCTGGGGATATTACATTATATCAGTTAGTGGAAATAATTGCATGCTTCTATCAATGTACATTATGTATATCTAGTGCTTTATTTACGACAGGTCTTTCAAAGATCAAGTCTCTGAATGTCAATTGCTGCAATTGCATAACTGATGCTGATATGAAGGCTGTCTCAGGTAGTTCATGTTCTCCTATTTATTAGTCCCTTCTCTTCTAGAAGAGTATAGAAAGACATTCCAAAAGCGCAAGACACTGTTTACCTTCTGTTTTCCATTTATATAGGAATGTACTTGTGTGTGTGATTATGCTGTATGTGTGACTTATCAGCATTCAAATGCTTCATATATACCGTTAGACGTTTTATTATCCTCTAAATGGGAGTATAAAGATGTATAAAGGGCCCAAGGTTGAATTTCTCCCAAGCCAAGATTTTTTTTTTTCGCATTAGGTCTGATTTTATTGATATGAATTACTGTGATAAATGCATGACAAAAGGTGATTCTTTGGAGGGACAGGGGAGGCATAGTAATTAAAACCGGAAACCGGTGAATTGAACCCTGGTCTGGTCCGGTGAAATCCAACTGGTCTTTAAATGTTCAAAATTTTATTAATATGGAGAATATATTGAACCTATATTATATATTGACTATTTTCATGTATCTAAAAATTTAAAATTTTTATTAATCAAAATTTTTGATTAATATAAATATTTAATATTTTCATTTATCTAAAATGATATAATAATTTATTAATAAAAAATCAACATGTATAAATATTTATTAATAAGAAATCGTCATATCTAATTGTTAACTTCTTAGAAAATATTTTTATAATCTCAATGTATTGTACATGAAAAACTAAAGAAACAAATTCAATTTTTGGGATCAACAATAAACATCCAAAAGTTTTATTTTATTTTATTTTCATAATAAAAAATAATGTAAATGATTTAAGGAATTTAAATAATTATTTTGAAAAATTATAGTTTTTAAACATCAACCTCCCGGTTGGACCAGTGACCCTCTGACATAATTTATGTACTTTTATCGGGTTAAAGATCCATTTTGGTCTCTATTTCAGGGCTTAGAAGCTTGAAATCATTACAAATTGCATCCAGTAAAGTTACAGACAACGGTGTGACCTTTCTGAAAGGTAATTCTCTTGAGATTCATATCAATGATTTGGTATCTTCAAAGCATGTAGAATCGAAACCATTTTGGCCATGTCAGATCATATAGTATTTAGAGGCAATTGTTGGGTGACTTTAAATGTTTGAAACTTTTGCTGTGTTCTTGTAATAAAATTTTTGCAGACTATTTAAAGTGAACTATTGGTCAGAAAGATTTGACTATTTCACCGCGATGGATGTAGTCATGTAGATGAGTTTTCCATTTCCCCATAATTTGTACTGTTCTTGACAACATCAAGTCATAAACTTTTTCCATTTTTCCAATTCATACTTTTAGAAGAAATAACAGAAACATTGACATGACAATATTAAATTAGTAACATATACTTGTAGGTTCAAGGTATCCAGAGGAATAAATTTTCTGATTATTTGTCATTTTCATTTTAGCTTTGCACAAGCTCGTACTTTTGAACATGGAGGGTTGCCATGTCACTGCTGCATGCTTGGAGTCACTTTCAGGTTCATCTTATGCTTGATTTTTATAGTTATGGCTATACTATAAAATCCTAGCAAACTGATAGTGGAGGATTTCATTTTCATTTTTTGCATGGCTACAATGTATTTGGAATGAGGTTTTGTTTGTTGCTATTGTCATTTTAATATCGTAAAGTCTTTGATAAAATCAATCAGAATTTTTACATTTTCAGTTTAATGAACTTACAAAATTTTCTGCTATTTCGGGAAGTTTTATGCCATCGTGTTATCGGGCACTTTTGTGATTCCTGTAAAAAGGTGGACCATGTGTGGAATGGGAGCTTTTTACACACTGTTGTGTCACTATTATGTTCAATAGGAATTGTGTAAAGGACACAAGTGAAGAAATGCTTGTCAATCTGGTTGGATGAAAGCAGCTGCATTCTAGTCGTGATTTAATTGACACATTGCTATTACAGTGTTGGGGGTAGGAGAAGTGGCAATGGGGTGCCGTACACTAACTAGCTTGCTAGTGTGATTGCAACTCACAAACAACTTACAAAAACTAAGTATACATTATGGACTTTAGAAATCTGAAGAAACAAACTGCGACAAATATATACAAGATTGCATGCAAAAACCAACATTTTGACTTCTTAATTTGTATAGAAACCGTCGAAGAAGTTTGGAGCCTATTAGACGGGCGATGAGTAGCATCAAGGGTTCCTTTGCACAATGTCATGTGCATCTTCACTATTTTTCTTTCTTTATTTTTATTTTTTTTCTTTCTCTCTTTATACAGTTCTTGGTGCCTTGCTATATTTGAATCTAAGCAGATGTAATTTGACTAATGATGGCTCTGACAAATTTTCAAGTGAGTCCTATTCAAACATCCACTCTAATTATCTCAAGTTCAAAGTCAACCATTTCTGTATTACCATTTATTTGTAATTTTTATAATTAAGGGCTAATATGATATTGAAACTAACATTTTTGCATGTTGTGTTTCACACAGAGCTGAAAACTCTTAAAGTATTGAACTTGGGGTTCAACAACATCTCAGATGCTATTTTGGTTCACCTGAAAGGTGAAATTCTCTCCTAATATGTATCAAAATGGTGAGAGAATTCTAATGGCCCTTCCACACCAACAAGAAAAAACCAAGGGAAAAAGGGAGAAAAATAAAGTAGAAATGGAACTTTCTCTTTGTATCTGTAGAAGCTTTAGGGGGGCCCTTCCCCATCTTTATTCTTAGTAAATTTTAACAAATGATTGGGGGTAGGTTAGAGTTTTTATTACTTAGATAGATCTCTCAGAATTTTTTTCAAAGTTCACTGTTTTTTTGTTTTTTTTTTTCAAAATGGAAAAGTTGTAGCTGTAGGAAAATTCACTTGGCTTCCGTGATGTTTGTCATTGTCCCGATGAGTAGAAGCATTGTTTTGATTAGTTAAGTGCACTAACGATATCATCAAAAATTATTGTCTCAACTTTTATGAAAATGGGGAAAGGGGAGAGGATGAAAAATTGTGTGGAGTTGAAAATAACTGAGAAGTAACCACCCTTTGCCACAGTGACCCCAGGCAGGTTGGGGACAGGGCAGGTGTAGGGGGGAAGTGCAGAGGTTGAAGACTTTGGTGCTTACACCTTTGGTTCCTTTCTTTTCTTGTAATGCTCTCTCCCCTTCTCTCACAATTTATGGCCCGTGTTTAAATTGTGGGAGGAGGAAGGGTTGCGTTTAGGTGTGGGGGAACAACAAGCTACTTTATTTTGTAACAATATGGTTTCTGCTGTTGATTTCCATCTGAAGTGTGTATTCGTTGGATATCTTCACTTTAGCACATAGTTTAGTATGATATCTAAAGTTGGGTGGTAAGGAAATTTATATTTGAGTTAGGTAATTCTAACGTTAAGCATGCATTTCTTTTATTCAGGTTTAACAAATTTGGAGAGCTTAAACCTAGATTCTTGCAGTATTAGTGATGAAGGGATGATTAATCTTGCAGGTTATTCTTATTCTATATGTTACTGAGTATATTGTGATAGACTCCCTATTCTCTGGATTCGTGGAAATAGAAGATAGAATGTGATGCGGCTGCACTTTGATATATGATCACTTGCATTTTTGTTGATATGAACCCAATTATTATAGTTTTGGGTGAATAAATTCACCTGAAGGCTAAGGCCCCAGTTCGGTCTTGTATTTCAGAGATAAAATTGGGAAGCAATTTTGAAAGATTTTCCAAGATTTTCATCTCCCTCTAGATAAAAATCGAAAATAAAAAATAATAATGGAGATATTTAAGCTTCACATAAGTAAAAAAATTAAGAGCTTGTTTAAGGCCTAATTTTAATTTTTTTTAGAATGCATTTTGGAATATTAGGTTGATGGAGAATGTGTGGATAAAAAGTAAGGAAAAGTTTTGGATTTGCGTATAATATTATTTTATTGAAGAATGTGTGATTGAAAAGAAGAGAGGGAAATGTATTTTGGAAACGATGGGAATCAAACAAGGGCTAAATGTATAAATTGAATCTCTTAGTTTTATTTCTCTCTATTTATTTTGCACTTTTCTTGAGGTTTAAAAGCAAATTAACTGTTCTTACTGGAATATTGAATCCCAGTGGGGTACTTTTGTCTTTAAATTGTTATGATGATTTCGTTTAGTTTCTTATTAATAATTTCTCTCCTCTACAACTAGTCAAACTGCTGTCCTCCCTCTTAAACATTTGTCTTCGGCTTTTTCTTTTCTTTTGGCATATGAGATTCAGGTCTACATCGTCTGAAATTCTTGGAGTTGTCTGATACTGAAGTTGGAAGTGGTGGATTGCATCATCTCTCTGGTTAGACATAAGTCTTTCACTTATCATAAGAACTGTGTATGAGAGGCATAGCTGTTGCAAATATTAGCCCTTGTTTGGGCTCCATTAAAATCAGATTTTGGGGAAATATGTACTTTGGAATAGTGAATTTTTTTAATTTTTTTTGAAGAATGTGTGGTAAAAAAAGATGGAATTTTTTTGGATTTACGTGTAATATTATTTTATTGAAAAATGTGTGGTTAAAAAGAAGATAGAGAAAAATGCATTTTAAATAAAATGGAGCCCAAACAGGGCTAAATAAGTTTTAGTTACGAGGTTCGTCCTTCCTGAAGATTGGTGAATTTTCATAGAGAAGTATCATTGTTCAGTTTAGCTTAAATGGTTCCATTTAGCTTTGTGAAATAGTTCAATAGAATGATAAGCAAGTAATCAATCAGTAATTTTTAAAATTCTGTTGCAATATTGAACACTAGTTTCTTTCACATCAAGCACCAAAATTGTGTATGATTGGGTAACATATACACGATTGTTACATCATAAGTTTGAATCAAAATTCAATTTGATCATCTATTTGTTTTTATCTTGTAGGTTTAGTTAATCTGGAGAGTTTGAATCTTTCCTTCACTGTCATCACTGATGGTGGTTTAAGAAAGTTGTCTGGTTTATCATCTCTCAAATCTCTCAACTTAGACGCTCGTCAAATTACGGATATTGGCCTTGCAGCTCTTACAAGTAAGCATCTTTCAGATGGTTATTATCATGATGTATCTGTAAGCGTTTATGTTAGTTTCAGATCCACGATTCAGTTAATAATAGAACAAAAAGGTGTTGAATAAATAAATATAATTATTATTTGTTATTCAGTGATACAAAGGAGCAATCATATGCTGTAGCTAGTGGAATACCAGGAAAAAAAATGCTTGTATTATTTTTCCTTCTTTCTGCGAAAAAGCTAGCTTTTCCCTAGTTTTAGGTACTGTTTTGCAGATGCTAAAACCTATTTAGTGGGCACTAAAACTCGCTTGGATAAGTGGAAACTAGTTTGGTAATTTTGTCTTAACTATAATAGGTTTTCAGTTAGCGAAAATAAGTTTTGTTTGAAAACAAGTCAACGGTAGAAAAAAATGACAATTTTTGTGAAGTCAAGAGTATGGATCCACAACAATTTCTTGTCCTTTTCCTCAATATAATAAAATAAAAAATTATTTGCATTTCATCTTTTGCATTATGTTGTGAGACACTAAATATTACTCACACCAGAAACATATGAAATGACACAGTTTACATCAAAACCAACTCATTCTTGAACTAACTAGCCTGGTTTGGTTCACACCTGAACTGAACTGAAAACAAGAAATTTTGCTTAGCTAACTTTCTTATATTATAAACTCTTCCATGGTGCCACTGTTGTTCAATAATCTAAATATTTACCAGTATTTGGCTACAATCATTCTATTTATTTTTTCTTAATTTGCAAATTTTCTTCTTTTGCAGATTTGACTGGGTTAACTCATTTGGATCTATTTGGAGCACGGATTACTGATTCTGGAACTAATTATTTGCGATGTATGCTAATAACTCACCTCAATATACTTTATATGTGGTACCTCCTTGATGTGAAGTGCCTGTAGGAAATGGATTTGTAATTTGTTGGAGATGACTAATCCTGTTACAAGAACTTTTGCAGTCTCATCTCTCCCTCTCCTCTTGAAACCCTGCTCCCCTTCAGATGCCAAAATACGAAAATCAAGTAAACAAAACTGAGAAAGCAGCATATTTTCACTAGTTGGGAATGCATTTCTCGAATTAACACTCTCCAACTGAAAAAAAGTATTTCTGTACTTATAAAACCATAACTATACAAGAGGTTGGAGAACCTTGCCTGTGCACTTTCAAATTAGTTTTGCATAACTAGCTGTAGTATGTTGTGTACAAGTTAGTGCCCATCATTTTTAGTGACATTTACATTTACATTTCATTGTTTGTTTTGTTTTGTGCTTTCTTTAGCTTTTAAGAACCTGTGCTCCCTGGAAATTTGCGGTGGTGGGTTAACTGATGCTGGCGTGAAGAATATCAAAGATCTTACATCCTTGAAGCTTCTGAATCTATCCCAAAACCATCACCTGACGGATAAGTGTTTGAAATCAATTTCTGGTACTTCCTTAGAGACTATAAATCACATTTTTCTGCGCTCTCTTATTACATGCAAAAGCTTATTTTTCTGTGCTCTCCCATGCCCCGTGCTTCTTATACTAGACTCAACAGGACTCAATGAGATTAAAATAGAGAAACAAGTTAAAATCCTATGCAATATTGTCAAGTTCTGTGTACCAAACATGTCGCTAGAGTTCAACTGCAATTTATCTGTGTGTGTTGACAATACTTTTCGCGGCTTTTGTCTCAGTTTTTGCCATGTGAAATTCATGGATATGTGTGTATACAAAGAATAAAAGAGCAATTAAGCTATCACATCTCTCTTAGATTATGAACTATAGGAATCGTGCAGTTTTTCTTAAAATACTAAGGCCCTGTTTGGGAGAGATTAAATTTTTCTACAGTAAATCAATTCTTATTTTCAACCACACATTCTTCAATAAAATAATATTTTCCATCACATCAATAATTTTTTCTTCTTTTTCAACCACACATACCACACATTCTTCAATAAAATAATATTTTCCATCACATCAATAATTTTTTCTTCTTTTTCAACTACACATTTTCGATCATATCACTATTCAAAATCAATTCTTCCCCCAAAAATCACTCCCAAACAAGCTCTAAGAAATGCTTTTTGTTTTGTCAACACGATGAAACTCCAAACGAATTTGGATGATGATTTTAAAAAAATTGTTATTTGGTACTTTATTGTGACCGTTTGTGCTTAACCTACCATCACCTGGATTTCTTGTTATCCAAGTTCGAATTATCCGTGTTTGCTTTTACAAATGCAGGACTCACTCAACTGGTTTCTTTGAACATCTCAAATTCTCGAATAACAAGTGCGGGTTTGCAGCATCTGAAGCCCCTCAAAAATTTGAAATCACTGACTCTGGAGTCCTGCAAGGTGACCGCCGATGACATGAAGAAGCTTCAATCCACTGACCTCCCGAATCTGGTGAGTTTTAGGCCGGAATAGAACTGGAGGAAAATGCTTATAGAAATCTCATCAATATCGGATATCTTCTGTACATATGGTCAAATTGTACATATCCAAGACTTGGAAGTTTGCTTTGAATGCGTGATGACATGAATTCTGCCCATGCTGTGTGTGAAGCTTTCTTTCGTATTATTCGATTGTACCTGAAAGAAATGTAGATAAGAGCGTCCTTGGCATGGCTTAAATTTCTTTCCTTTTGAGTTTTAGAATAAATTGACTCCAAAACCTTTGTAAATACATGGTGACAGGGTGCTTTTGGATATGATGATTTGGGAGCAGTTCTATTCTTATTCTGACCTGGGTTTTGATAATCTTTTTATGCTAAAACTATCACGAACAGGTTTCACTTATTGAACCGGGTTTTGACCTCTAGATGTCAAAGGTGTCCCCCACATTTCACAACTGCAAAAAGAAAATTTCTAGATCTTGTGATAATAAGATAATCTCTTCGATGCAGTTGTGATTTTTTTTTTCTCTGCCTTGTCACGAAAACTAGCATTTTTTCTCAAACTTGAATTTGAAATAAAAAAGGGCAATAATCGTGTTTTGAATTACACGAGATCAAATAAGATAAATAGTAAATTTCGCTACTTTATTTTTAACTCTCAAGTTTCAATTCAGTGTAATTTCATTTCGAGTGTCGATGAATCGTGTATGGTCCCCTTGTTGAAGGGTTCAATTTAATCCTTTCAAAGTACGGAATGTGGAATATTTCGTATATACGTCATTACAAAATAAAATTTCAAGATTTTCTATGCGAGAGTTATAATACTTTGTAATATGGTAAATATTTTGAGAAATACTATATACCAAACATAAATCCAAACAACGTTTGTAAGTGGATTTTTTGAAATGATCCGAGGATTAAGTCGATCATTCAATATCCTTTCCGAATCGATACATACATAATTCAAAAAATCAGACTTGGGAAATGGGAAAAATCATATATAACCTACTAATTTAAAAACAAAATATCTGTAAATACTGCTATTTGATATGTACACCTTATATACTATATAATATACAAATTATATTTAAAATTACTTCCTAAACCCTTATGTATCTGAAAAAATTAAATTGATCGCAAAGATTAAGCTTGCATTGAATGTCTCCTCCATATTAAAACGAATTCAAAGATTCAAGGGAAACAGACTCCATATCACTGGTGGCACTTGGCAGAAAGTTGAATTTTGCATCCACGACTGCTACTGATTAGGCTATCGATTGAATTTTCAGAATTTGAGGATTTCTTCTATAATCCATTTTTAACAGGTTAAAAGGTAATTTCACATACTGTGATGTGATAAAGATGATGTTGCACACGTGTAGTTCCTAAAGGGTGACCCAACTTTACATTTCTGCTTTGTAATGATGTATCGTATGGAGACATCATGAGGCATCATTCAGACGTCAATAATTCTTTCTCGTGTTATACATGTAACATATTTTATGGAATTTACAATGTACAAAATATAGTAAATTTTTCAATGCCACTTGTATGAAGAGGATTGATAATCTATTGTCGAAATACTGCAAAAACTGTAATGATTTTTTTTTTTTTTGAGCAGTGATCGAGATGAAGTAGATGTAATGTTAAGGAAATAGTTGTTAATATTCCAAGACATATGTTCATAATACTACGATTTCAAAACAAAACACAAATATTGAACACAAACTAACCACAAAATAAACAAAACTAAATACATTCAAAAATTTCCAAACATTTTCAAACTAAACACGATGACATAAAAGCACGAGTTTACCCATTGTTATATCAAAAGTCAATAGACATCACAAAATCATGAAATATGCATTAGCCAATGGTGGGCTTCTATTTTTCATTTTTTTTTTCTTTTTACTTGTCGTCTTCATTCTTGTCTTTCCTTACATTCCTTGGGACGAGATCAACATCCATTTCATATTCCCGCGGGTCTTCTCATTTTCATACTTGTATAGTTGACAAGTGATGTCTCTTCTGACATTACGTGTGGCAACAAAAATTGTAGCATTTGGTGTATCATATCACCGATGATGAATTATGCGTACTTGGTCACGTACAAACCACACTCGTATCTCCAATGAAGAAAGATTATGTTACATTTGAGCTTATCAAAATGAAAGAAATATTATATTACATTTGAGTGTATTAGAACTTTTGGTTGCTGGTCATCAAGGAAAAATCTAGGACTATTGCAGATTATAATATTTGAATTCTCAATTACACCAACTTTGACTAAACAATAACTTAGCAAATAGGCACGAGGACAACTTAATGGAGACTGGTCTCCCTTGTGTATTTAGAAATTGGAGATCAATTCTATCTTTTCTATTTCCAATATAATGATGCCAAATTTTTTGGAAAATATTGAATATTTACTAGATGATGACGAGAGTTGAATAGACGATGTCTAAACTTTTTCTTTTTCTTCCTCAACAATCTTGGGCTATGCAATCCAATTATCAAACTATCAACGAACACCAATCACCGTACAAGTGAAGTACTTTTAGAGATTTCATATTTGCTATAATATTACAGTATTTTTTGAAATAAAAATGATATATTGTAATATCAGAATTCCTTTATAAAATGAGGTATGCAGTGTAATTTTCACTTCAACGTATTCGTTTAGCAAGATCGAACCATTTTTAGGTCATAATGCCTCGTAAGCAAGGCCCTGCACATCCGGGGCCACAAGGTGTTCGACCGGCCAAGCCATTTTGACACCCGTATGTTTTTCTAACTGAGGGTGTGTTTTTTCACATACCGATTATTTAGGGGTTTAAATGCTATACTTACATTTATATGGGTCTGAAGTATGAAATGAGTAAAATTTGAGAGAGCCAAGTGAAATTACCAACATTCCTTACAACGTTCAACATTTGAGGTGCGCCGCCGTCATTTTCTCCTCCTCGAATTTCTTTCTGCAGACAGAGCACGAGACCAGCCAGAGCGCATAGCATTTTATTTGCCAATTGGAAAAATAAAATATAAAAATTGATGCCATAGACGATTTCTATCGAACCAAACCCAAACCCGTCGCCGATTCTTTTGGACCAAAGACCGCCAGCGCCGACTCGCGGTTTCTTTCTAGACGTCTTCCTGCTCTATCCACACTGCCGCAGCATTTAAGTACTGAGGTTATTGTTTTTTTTTTCTGCAATTTTCATAAGTAATTGCAATGTGTATTTTATTCTTTAGGTCTTTTGGGTTTATTTATTTTCTGCAGTTAAATCTTTTGCTGGGAATGTTCTCTTACAAAATTTTATTCTTTAGGTTTTTTTTCTTTGCTGATTTCACAATGTTGCTGAAATTTAAAATTTGATTAATTATGGTTAATGACCTTTGTTCCAGACTTGAAAATCAGTTCAAGTTTGAACTTTGAAATTTGTATGCTTACAGTGTCACGTATTTTATACTAAAAAATTTTATTTTTTGTAGGGTTTGAATTAGTATAGTTATTGTTAGAATATCGATGTAATTTTTAAGATATTTTTTCTTCCCTTTGAGTGGACTGTACAATTCTATTGAATTTTCTTTAACATAAATTTAAATTATGATTTTGTACTGAGAGATGGAGAAGGTTGTTGGAGTTGATGGAATTCATAAATTCTTTCCCATATTTTGGAAGAATCATTACCTAGAATAAAATTCATTGATCAGAAAAATGAAAAATTCTTCCTGTGGTCCAAGGATTTAATACATAGGATACTCAGGTGTCTGGGGTTGAACTGCTGGATATTATATAATATTTTGGAATTATTTTCAATGAATCTGTCTGGAGGGGTGGAACATTTATCAGGCAGAAATAGCCATTTGCAGAAATAATTGAATTTATAGGTTTGTTTATAGAGCCAAACTCAAATATTTGATCATCAGGCAACTGTAACTATAGGAATGGGCTAATACATTATTGACATAGAACACTAAAAATAAGTATCTAATTTGGAAAGTAAATTAAATAATGTCTCTACTAGGACTCCCATCAATTATCCTACTTCGTTAGTGGAATTGAAAGAACATTTATATCAGCTGAAGTGATTTTTTTTTTAAATTTTCACAGAGATGATTTGATGTAACTTTAATATTTAGCCCCCGTCTGGCTCCATTAAAATGAGAATTTGGGGTACAATGTGATTTGAAATAGTGATTTTTTGGAGAATGCATGGTTAAAAAATAAGAAAGAGTTTTGGGTTTATGTGTAATATATTTTATGGAAGAATGTGTGGTTGAATAATTAATTTTGAAAAAAAATGCATTTTTGGAAAATGTAACCCAAACTGGGCCTAGTGTGTTGAATTGCTGAATATAATCTAGTGACTTTTTCTGTCATAATATGAAATTTTTTGTACATACAATTTTTTAAAATTCCATCCCCCTTAACTTATTGTTCTAGGTCCCCCCGATCATAACGTGGCCGCCAATTCTTCCACCCTCCCTGACCAAATTATCCTAAGAAATCTCAGCATCTTTTTTCTCCAAACAATGAGTTGCTCAACTCTTTTTCTCAAAACTCCACTCTTTCCCTCCACCACCGTCAAGTACTCTAATAATTTCCGGCCCACCAATTATTCTGTGACGATGGCATCCCTCGAAGTGGACGTGCATTCCAATCTGAAATCATTACTTAATGAAATCCCAAGGAAGAGTTCAGAAGTAATTGCCGATGAGAAGAAATTTGTGGTGGGCACCTATGCAAGGACATCAGTGGTGTTGGCCAGTGGGAAGGGCTGTAAAGTGTACGATGTTGATGGGCAAGAATATCTGGACTTGACTTCTGGTATTGCTGTCAATGCTCTCGGACATGGGGACCCCGATTGGGTGCGGGCAGTTACGGAGCAAGCTAATGTACTCACGCATGTCAGCAATATATATTATTCCATTCCACAGGTAAAAAGTTCTTTTTCCATTTATTTATTTTTTGTGTGTGTGTTTTTTGCTTTTTAGAATCGAATGGATTAAATTTTGATGGATTTTGTTTTTTATTTCTTGAATGTAATGCTAATTTCCAAGAAATTATTGTGAATGAGGTCTAGATGAATTGTTTTGAGGGTTTATTCTTCTTGCTCTTTTGATACTTTAGTGTGATATAGTAGGGGTTCGTGAAAGTGTATAGAGTTTAGATTTTAGTGGAATTCTTCTAATCGTAAGATTTATAGGCTATTTTCTGGAAAATTTGGTGGTTTGCTTGAGAATTGACGGGTGGGTTTTTGGAGATTTGTACATCTTTTGTGATTGTAATGATAAATAATTGAAAATTTTCAAGTGAAATGGACCTGAATGCACATTAAGATAAAATAAATTGATTTTCATGAGTTTCTTATATGACGATTGAGAAAGATTAATAATGTGAATTAATGAATGTAGACCATTCATTTAGAATGTTAAATCAATGGATTGAGTTTCATGCAGAAAATGGTAGTACTTTTCTTTGGAAGGGAGTTAAAAAATGATTTTTGCACACAGTAGTTCAAATTTGTATAAAGCAGAGGCAATGTTTTCTCACGTCGGAGTTATTTAGTGGATTGAAACTTAATAAAATAATTGGGATATAATATGTGCCATGTAGTCTGGAAAAAAAGTGTGTATTTCTGAAAAACATGTATTCTTCTAAGCATGTAGTGTTGGTTATTGAGATCAATTCAAGCACTAGACATTAAGGCTACGTTTGGTTCAATGGATTATGCCGTATAAAGAATTCAGTACAAAACTATAATATATAGTACCGGGTTGATGGTTTAAGGTAGATAGTATTCTTTAATTTTTCATTCAAAAGATAGTCATTTGCATTACCAATCGCATAACGTAATATGAAGGTTGAAGGTGGGTTTAGGCTGGATAAAACAAGAGATGGTGACATTCTTTTAAATGAAAATTCGGAGATTATTATCCACATTTATCTACCATAATACAATCTACCTCGTAATATTTATTATAATTTATTCTAAATCTTTATGTCGTCCAATCTGGCGCACCAAATGTGACCTTAAGAGTGAAAGAGATAATTTTGTGGAATAATTGTATCCAAGATTAATAGAAGATAAAATTAGTATTAAATTAACTTTTCTCCTCCATTTTTCTATGTATGTGCTGATAATTTGCCTTGAAAACTGAAATGAAATAGTTTGTGTTGTCATATTAGCAGATATAAAATTATTAATGTCTATTTTTGCAGGTGGAGCTTGCAAAACGTCTGGTTGCTTGCTCTTTTGCTGATCGTGTGTTTTTTTCCAACTCTGGAACCGAAGCAAATGAAGCCGCTATTAAGTTTTCCCGGAAGTTCCAAAGATATTCGCATCCAGATGAGAAGCAGCCACCTATGAAGTTCATTGCCTTCACAAATTGCTTCCATGGTAGAACCATGGGTGCTCTTGCACTGACAAGCAAAGAGAATTACAGATCACCTTTTGAGCCCGTTATGCCTGGAGTGACATTCTTAGAATATGGTAATATCCAAGCAGCTACTGAAATTATTCAGAGTGGGGAAATTGCTGCAGTATTTGTTGAACCCATTCAAGGAGAAGGTGGTATACATAGTGCAACAAAGGAGTTCTTACTATCCCTGCGCACTGCCTGTGATAATGCCGGTTCTCTTCTTATTTTTGACGAGGTAATCTACTTATTCGGAAAATATTATTACTTTTTGTTGATATTAAAAGTAAATAACATTTTATGTGAAAAGGAAGGCCTGTAATATGCATATAGAACGAAATAGGTGTCTCTGTAGGAAGAAATTAAAATTATTGACAACAATTGTCTGAATGAGTAGGTAGTACCTACCTGCCAAGCAAAGGTTTCTGAAGAACAAAGATGCTGAGCTGCTTCTTTTTCGGCTTCCCCACCTTTATTTGTTTAGATCTCGAGGCAAGGCAAGCCCCAAGATCCAAATTTTAGTTCAGAACTCATGTAATGAAGCACCTTGGTTAACCTTCAAAATGGGATAGAATCAAGAGAAATTTCATATGTCACATATGGTAGATTAAAACATGATACCTAGATGTGTTAACTACAAATCCAAGTCTTTCTCGCAAAAGAAAACAAATGATAAAATGCACATCAAGAGGACCCATAATACCTAGATGTGTTATCTACAAATCCAAGTCTTTCTCGCAAAAGAAAACAAATGATAAAATGCACATCAAGAGGAGAGACAAGTTTTCTTGACATTATTCTTTAATTATGGGTAAGAAACTGTTTAGTGTAGATTGTTTAATGACGACAACAATTAAACGTCTACATTCTGCTTTAACTTTGAGGAAATCTATATGTTTGCATGGAGAAATATATGATCAACCATGTGATTAGAGACTTCTGTATCTGATGATGAGAATGCGTTTGGTTTTTGTAATGAGAAGTAATTTACTTAGTCCCTGTTTGGTATACATTAAAATTTTCATTTTTATTCTTCTACTCATTTTCAACCACACATTTTTCAATAAAATAATATTTTCCATCACATCTATAATTTTTCCTTCTTTTTCAACCACACATTCTCCATCAATTTACTATTCCAGAATACATTCTTCCAAAATAATGTGGTTCAAACACACCCTTATTTATTCACTTCTTTCTGGAACGAAAAGTGAAGCTTTTTATTCAAAAGTCGCCTTTTTGCTGCCTTCTTCTCATATTAGCATCTCTGGCTATCATGCATGTTTTTTTTATAGAATGGAATAGTCATCCTTGAAAGGCTGTGGAGATCATTAGAATGTGATTGCACGTTTCTCAGTTTGGATTTCCCCATGAGATTATGTAGTGGTCAAACAAATACGAGTAGATTCAAAAATTTTCTCTTCGTTTCTTTTTCCTTCACTAAATTTTAGAAGTATTATGGTTGTATATATGCATATCAAACAATCTGAACTCCCAGATTTGTACATTTTGTTTTTCTTTTCAAATTGATACAGCATGTTTTGTATACTGCAGAATAAATTCCCATTATTTCCCAGTGAGAGAATTGATAATGTGCATTTTGAGTCAATTTTATTGCTTAACTATTTCTGTTACAAGTATCATGTTGCTAGGCTGTCTTTTGGCTGAAGATTCTCCACACGGTCAAAGTAGTGATCATAATGTGTCATCGACATTGATTAAAACAACTATAAGTTCTGCTTGTGATTTGTTCAAATTCTGGCATATGTTTGATCATATTTTACTGAACGGATTTGTTTATGCCTCTATCCACAGGTACAATGTGGCTTAGGCCGAAGCGGTTATCTTTGGGCCCATGAAGCTTACGGTGTATACCCAGATATAATGACCCTTGCAAAGCCTCTAGCCGGAGGTCTACCTATTGGTGCTGTGCTGGTAACCGAAAAGGTGGCTCGTGCAATAAATTTTGGAGATCATGGTAGCACTTTCGCAGGTGGTCCTCTTGTTTGTAGTGGTGCAATTGCCGTGTTGGATAAAATTTCGAGTCCAGGCTTTTTAGCCAGCGTCTCAGAGAAAGGTCAATATTTCAAGGAACTGTTAGTTAAAAATTTGGGAGGAAATTCGCATGTGAAAGAAGTACGAGGTTCAGGACTCATTATCGGCATAGAGCTCGACGTATCTGCCTCCCCCTTGGTCGATGCATGCCAACAGTCGGGTCTTCTTATCTTGACTGCAGGAAAAGGAAATGTTGTTAGAATTGTGCCACCACTGATCATATCGACTCAGGAAATTGATCAGGCCGTTGAGATCTTGATTGATCGTATCCCTGTTCTTGATCAGGCTAGCACAAATTAGATGTCAACTTCCAGGATTCTTGAACCTTTCCCTATCTAAATTGGGGCTACTAGCTTCTAAGTGATAAATATAAAATCATTGTAGATTATCTTTCAATAAAATAAATGAACTATTTCCCTGTTTATCAGAGTATATGGCTTTCATATTGTTTTGTTCTTTTGTTCTGGTTGGTTATTTATTGGCTTCATGCTATTGGCTTTTACAATCCACTAATCTCCTCCTGCATGTGTTTTGGATTATTTTTTTCCCTCTGTTCATTTATTTATTTTATTTTGTAATTAAAAGTATATTAAAGATTCAAATTTGTTTGGTCAACTTTTGTTTTAGAATTGTGATATGTTTCAAAATTAGCGTTTGGACGTTTGATATGAAGAAGTTTTTTAGAGCTTGTTTGGGAGGAATAAAAATCGGATTAAAATTGAAAAACTAGCCGTTATTCTTGATTTTTATTAGACGAGTGTGATCTAATAACGACTATATTTTCAATTTTAATTGGATTAAAATTTCTCCCAAACATTAATGTTGGTGTTACTAAAATAGACATCGATTATAATAATCTTCTTCTTATGTACGTTAATTGTTGTTGTAAAATTTATTTATGTTTACAACAATGTGTAACATTATTAGCCCCTGTTAGGTTTGGATAAAATGATGAAATACGTGGTTCAAAAGTTGTGGGTCACAAAAAATTATGGCTGAAAATGAATTTTAAAAATTGGAGCCAAACTGGACTATATATGATTTTATTGTTTCTTAAAATTCAAAGTTCCAACTAAATCATGTTGAAGCATACAAAATAATACAAATGACAAACCTCATTTTGGTAGGCATAACTTACAATTTTGTGGTGTCAATTGAATTAGGTTGAATTAATTTGACAATACACCATGTCTAGAAAAATTTAACGCGATTTGATGTTTTGCTTTTTCTATAGAAGGTTTAAAAAAATGTAAAAAGTAGAAAGTAGCTCGTGTATTCACCACTTTTTACATCTCTAGTAGTGATCCTAAGTTCCATGTTTGCTTCTTTAACAATTCCAAATCGTCATAAAATAGTATTATTAGGGAAGAATAGGAAGTTGAAAAGTATCGAATAAGTGCATGGCCACATCATTAAATCAAAAAGAGGAAATGCCAAATTTGCAAGATTCCATACATATGTGTATCTTGTAGGACAAAGTTTACATTTCCAATGAAGTATTCTTGAAACTCGATCGAGACAAAGTCCTACTGACACATGCAACACTAAAATGCAGACGGTTATCCACCCAATTTGTTGAATGAGTTATGCTACATATATATACCCACTTTTTTACATAATCTTTTACCTACACTCACAATAGGGTGAAGAGATCACACATTTGAGAGTTTTTTATTCACGCGGCCCCGCGCGCATGTGAGAGGGTGGCACATTTTCGATAACCCACATTCGGTACAAATAGAATTATTCTTGTTGAATTAAACTACTTGTACAGAGTTACAGATGCAGCGTTGGCAACATTGTATTGATCGTCAAAATTGCAGCTTTTGGCACATGTCCAATAAGTGGCATTCTGTCATGCTACATGTACAAAATCGTTGTACATGTAACAAAGTTGCAATTTGTTAGTCTTTTATTTGATATTGGAGCTCTTTTATCTAAATTACGTGTTTTTCTAGCACGTAAGGAAATATGGGGACGAGATGTTAAATGATATGATTAATAAAGCGGGTAGACGTGAATAAAAGTAATGGAATCAATCAAACCTAGTCAAGCCAAACTAGCCGATTTGGTTCAACAAATTTTGATAAAAGTTGATAAAAAGTATAAATAAAAGATGGATAAAAATTGTGAAGTCTCGTAAAATGTATGATAATTTGAAATTTGATAGGTTGAAAAGTTGATAAAATTTAATCAAACAAGCTTTTAATAACACTATATATCATATAAACAACTGATCATCTCCCATGTAGATTAATATGACCCAGCTTAAATGCAATTTTCATTGTTACTCTAAAAAAAATTTGTTTGACTTTATTTATTATTGGGATTTTCTTTTCTCAAACCCCAAAGCCATACAGTCCATTGCTTCAAGCAAAACAAGAAATGGTCTCTCAGTTCAAAGAATGATTCTTTCTTGGGAAACTATCTATTTGTTAAACTTTTAAGTGTGGGATCAGTATGGTAGGTGTTCATAGACAGACATTCTCTTTGATTCCTGGCAGATGTTTCTTAAAATAAAAGGTTAGGAAGAATCCAGTTTTCTTACCACCTTCAACCTTGTCCAAAACAAGCCAAGACCAGACTCTGTAATTTTTTAAACATTGCGTTCAGACACAAGCTGACTGTAGTATTGGTTAAGATAATTCACAGTTAATTTGAGTGACTTATAAGCACATAATTGGATACATATTCACTTTTTGTCTTCCTACATTCCGCCGATGCGGTGTGGCTAACGGATGACTACTATTCTTTTGTCCACGTATATGTTACCTTCACATTTGAACAACCCCGTCGTTTGACGACCACTTTGCCTAACCACCTCGTCCAATAAACCAACCACTTCGAAGAGGTGGGGGGTGGGTGTGAACCTTTCGTGGCCTCTTACTTCTTTTCTACTTAGTCGACTGTCGAGTGACTTGCCTGCCTATTGGAATGACACTTTACACAGTACAAGCAAAGGTAACAATCAAAAGGTCCCTTTTACTGCACCCCAAAAGATTACATAGTCAAGATCAACACTCTTAACCACAGATTTTGCCACCCCATTGATTGATGTGATCAAAACCCTTCATCTCTCCCATGCTTGCATTAATCATCCCATTATGTAAGCAAATCAGAAAACCCTAATTTGCATTCTGGGTTCTTAAATGTGAGCACACGGTTACATTGATGTTCTGTAAAGCACTGGAACCTCTCTCCGGTTAATGGGAGCAATCATAGCCGTTCAGTCAAACTGGCCTTTCTCCTTGACGCCACTATGACGACGCATTTTCAACCTTACAAGTCATCTAATCTCGGCTACAAAGCCATATGAGACTCCAGTTAATGCTTTATGAAGTTAGTTCTCTATAGTAAAATTTTAATCTTATTGAAAGGAATCACAGTATCTGATTTGTTGATTATAATTTTCATATTTAATTGATATGAAATTTATCTAGTAATATGTCATGCAAATTGTGATTTGTTTGAAAACATCGATCAGAAAATTTGATTACTCGTTTGAGCTTTGAGCTCAATGCTGATATTAAGACTTAGAATTCACCATAAAAGTTCGAATTTATTAAGAACAATAATTCAAAGACTTTATACGTTTATATAACATTCGTATTTAACCAATCCCCTAAAATTTATTCTACCAGTCAAGCAAACATGCTGACGTTCAACGTTTACTCGCTTTGTCCTCAATATCAAAAACTCGCAAAATATAGATGATTTTTATCATAGAAGTCACAATATGTAATTAGAATAGAAGGTTGAGAATCAACTTGTTCTTTTTAAGGTAGAAAATGGACGTTCTATAACCCTTGATTTATTATTATTATTATTTTCAAAACAATTTTTTTTCAAACTTATTTTCAACTAACCAATCTTTCTATAAAATAATTTTAGAAGTAAATTCATAAATTTTTTTACTTTTTAATCACACATTTTTTGAGAGAATTATCTCTCATAAAATTACTTTTAAAAAACCAAATGAATATAAAATTCTTTTGAACATAATTAAAAAGAAGAAGAAGAAGAAGAAGAAGAAGAAGAAGAAGCAAGCAAGTATTTAAGCCCATGTTTGTATTTCATTAAAAATAGGTTTACGGGGAAAATGAATTTTGAAATTGTAATTTTTTAGAAAATGTATGGTTAAAAAGTAAGTTTTTAAAAAATGTATAATTAAAATGTAGAAAAAAGTTTAATTTTACCTGCAAAATATTTTTATTATGTGAATGCGTAATTAAAAATAGGTTTGAGAATGTAATTAAAAATGAGTTTGAGAAAAAATAAAAAAGGAGTTTTGATACAGGAAAGATAAAAGAAAGCTAAGTCTCTGTTTGACACACATTTTTTCAAAATATATTATTTCAAACTCATTTTTAACCACACATTCTTCAATAAAATAATATTTTCTATCACATCAATAATTTTTCCTTAATTTTTAGCCACATAATTTCTATTATATTTATGTTTAAAATATATTTTTTTCTTAATAATATCCATAAAAGACATGTATAAGAGAAGTATATCTCTCTGCCAAGCAACGACGTGCATGTAACATTCATGGCAGATAGTTGTCCTGTCCAATTTGACAGCATTATCTATTTAATTTTCCATAGAATCCATTTTCCACTCTCTTTAAATAGTGGGCACTTTTCGAGTTTTTCTCTGAATTAATCCTTTCCTCTTGAAATTCTCCAATGAACCCTAATTACCAGATGTTAAACAGCTGCCCTTTCTTTCCTAAACAGCAACTGAATGAACCGGAGGAAACATTTTCTTTGCTACATCAATGGCCGCTTGCGCCGTTCTCTCCAATTTTAGATCCCAATCTAGCTGTCCCAGAAATCGATAATCACATATCTGATGACATTGTTAACAAGAGAGAACAAAACCCTCATGTTCTTGAAGGAATTGCCGCCATTGTTGGAGAACACGTTCTTTTTGGAGGCAGTAATATGAACAGTACAATGAAGAATGGTAAAGAGAGTGAACAATCCGAAATTCTGCGTGGGAAAAAGTTGGAAACAGAAGGGGACAAGAGGAATGTGGGTGATATTGGAGTGCAAAAAAGCTATAGGGGTGTAAGGAAGAGGCCGTGGGGGCGGTGGTCAGCCGAGATACGCGATCGTGTAGGGCGGTGCCGCCATTGGTTAGGTACCTTCGACACGGCGGAGGAGGCGGCTCGGGCTTATGATGCAGCGGCAAGAAGGCTGAGAGGATCCAAAGCTCGTACCAACTTTGAAATTCCCCCAGTACTACCTATTTCTTCATCGAATTCATCATCATCTGAGGTGAAAAATGGGAGAAAAGGCAAGAAATCACAGGATGAAAGAAGAAAATGCTCAGTTGTTACTTCTGCTGCTCATCTTTTCAGTTTAAATCCCGTGGCTGACAATGTATCTGCAGGCGTTAATCTTGAGCTTGATTTGAAGCTTGGTGGTAGTTTCGGCGAGAGCAGGATGTCATCAATGATGGTTAATTTAATATGATTAATTCCACATGTTTGCCTGTTCTTGTAAGTAACATTAAAAGTAACTTCCCAGTTGGTTTTTGTTTCATCTGATATCGAACTTTTGGATGTTTCAAGGATAATCTTAAAAGTCTGTAAGCTTCTGGTAGTGTATGTAGTTAACGCCTTGCTTATGTTTCCTATTTTCTCTATATCTTAAATTTCTCTGACTTTTTCACTTGAAAGTAATTCTTACCCTCTTTCTATAATTATATGTTAAGTTGAATTCCGGTACTAGTATTACAGGACGCTGAAACAAGAACATGTAATATCAGTATGCAAAGTACACAACAAGGATAATTTTTTTTTTGAAAATTTGGGTTCAACCTTTTGATTCCTAGGCTGTTTCAATCTTAAGCAACTCGAAATTATCAGCACTAACATAAATCGTCAGGTTTGTATATACATTTCCTTCTCTGTAAATTATGGTTCGACTACATGAATTTCGGGTCTCACAGTACTATTTAAAGCAACTAGGACCATTGAGATTGTGAAACGATCCAGGCCGATGCTGCATTCAGAAATTAGGGCGGCGGGGCGTCCTACGTTGGTAGCATTTGATCCGGGATACTGTACTCGTGAGAAACTTGGATATAGATTCTAAATCTATATACACGGTTTGCAGTAAAAAGATTTGGAATTCTGCAAAGATCCCCCGCCCCCATAAAAAGAGGGAGGGTTTATGGGGGTTAGCCTTTTTCTTTTTTTTTGGTTGTAGGGATGCTGATTGGCATAGTTTTTTAACTTTTGATACTCTTTCGTCTCTTTGAGTTTCTGACTGAGAGACTATGACACTGATTTGTACAGACTAGACTAGACTCGACTCGAAGAGAGTAATAAGTAGTTTATTAATTAATTGTGCAGAATTGCAGGGGTGATTTCTGATTTCAGTCGTAGTCCTCTCTTCCCTAATTACAGCATCTTTATGAAAAATCTTGGCCGGTTTGCCCCTCCCGTAACGAAACATTTCGGTTTAAGATTTTTTTATTAGCGTATAGTTTAGATTCAAGATTTTTGATGGCTCGACTGATCAATATCGGATCAATCTAACCAATTTTAAGGTATTTCGAGATGAACCACTGGTCGAGGATTACTAATCATAATCACAACTAATATGAATAGCATTACTCTAGCTTTTTTTTGTTTTTTTTGAAAATGAAACAAGTTTCATTGCACATCACAATAGCTAACGGTACACGGAGGAAAGACCTCCAACACAAAGCCCTCCAAAGCGGGATTAAGGGCTACCACGGCAAGAGCTCAAGCTAAAACAATAGCCATCACGCCCAACCGACAACAAGTTTCATG